TTCCATTTTTATGTTTTCGGAAACTGTTTTTCAGATGGCAAAAAGAACGCATTTTCAGAAATTTCAAAATAGACACTCAAAACACAAAACAAATTCAAAACACAAAACACAAAACTGAAACACGAAGAGAACGGCCCCTTATATTTTCGATCTTCAGATCAGTTGCTCCCTAAATTAGGTTCTTGTAGCTCTAGTTGAAGGAACCTAGGGCTTGCCAAGTTTTTAGCTTTTGTGCAAAGTACAATTATGCATGAAAACATTTTTCCTGAAAGTCTGTTACCAATTAGTGAAGATAAAAGTTGTTGGATTCAGACTTATTGAGCAGCCAGCAAGGGGATCACTCGATTAAGATGTGCTCATGGATCTTTTCTAACAAGTCAAGTGCACGTGATAGACTTCGATAAGAAAAACAACAGGTTACAAGGGCATACAACTACCTTATATGAATTGACTGTTCCTTTGAGGCTTTAAGCTTGAATCTTCTGGTAGAAGAAATTTGCACAAAGCCAGTGCTTCCTCAAAATCACCTGATGCCGTTAGTTGTAAAATCTGTGTGATAAAATAAACTATTTTGACGGAATTTTTTTTTTTTTAGGTTCAACGGTGAAAGATTCTCTAGGACTTCTCAACCACTTGGTCCCCCTTTAAAATATAGCATTCATTTCATAGTATAGAATCTTCTGTGTTCAAAAAGTCAGAGAACTGGAGGGCAGGAATATTTATAACTTCAATTTCTGTTATGCTTTGACGTAGAGTCATTCTGCTCTATTTACAACCATAACGAAAGTGTTGATACAACATTGGTAGAGAATTCTGAGTTGTTTAGATACATCGCTTCCAGAACTATCCATTGCTTAAATTATAAATGGACATACTCAAGGAAACTTTTCTGAGACAATCAATTTTATATTGTTTATATATTGGTTCCCAATACCCACTTCCTAACACATTGCCATCACAATCACAAAAACCTTCATAACAGAAAACGCTTCTGGAATTGCATAAAAAAATATGGAAGTGCCTAGGATTTTCTAGAGTGTTCCATACCTGTGCACCAAGAGGAACAGGATACAAGCCATAAACAGAATTGTCTACCACTACAATAATAACATGGTTGCTATGAAGGAGATGGCAAACATTGCGGCGAACAACTGTTTGTAACTATGGATAAGGAGACCGAAGGGACCATATCTGCATATTCATTAAAAACTGAAACTGAAGAACTGCAGACAGTAAAAGGAGAGAAAAAAGTCGATGTTTGAAGTTCAGGATACCTCAATGTGTCTTGGTAAGAGACCTAGAGATCTGGATTCTCAATGGTAACTGCTGCAGGAGCCTCTGACCAACAAATCCTGCCTCCCTGAAGAAGCTTCCCCTTTTGGTCAACAAACACACCAATATTATCCAGAAGAAAATGGAAACAGCTTATTTCTGTTATTTTATTGAGATGGATGCTAAAGACATGAATTGAAAAAATAAAGATGGATATGCTTTTGTATCAGAAATATACTATTCAGAACAAACTGAATAAAAGAGAGCAGGGAATGGATAACAGAATAAATCCTTCAAACTGAAGTTATTACAAGATTTTGTTATCGAGATTTGTCAATCCAAATGAACATTATCTATATACTATGACCACATGCATGTTAACGTTACAGGGATGCTGAGAACTCTTGCATCACTCTAATGATCATTTGCCAGCACAAACCATCCCCTTAAAGAAAAACCCAGACTGTTATATATATTGCCCAGGTCGATCTCCTCTCTTCACTGCTGTCACTGATCATGAATTCCAAATCAAGCCCAGTGATTAGAAGCCCCAAATATGTGTAATCAAAACACTAGCTTTTAAACAAAAAAACTCCAAAAAAATTTGGGAATAATCTTCAACTTCGGCATGTCTCACAAAGTTGCCCCAAGAAAACTTATTTTTACCACCAAGTGCATGATAAAAATGGTAATATATGCAAAGGTTTAAGCAGCAATAAGTAAAATTAAACAAAGAAAAGGTCTGCATCATAACAAGAGAACATATATGCCTTAGCTAGGATAAGAAATTAAACTTGTTTTGCCTACAACAAAAAATCAGAAGTGGAATGAACATCAAGAACGAACGAAAAGCAACTAATCATATTTAATCTTCGATGTTTACTTGATACTGTAGAAATTTTTTTAAAAAAAGGAAAGATGTTTTGTCTTGTCAGGTAGGGTTATAATAATAGTCAATCAATTTTTAGAAGTACTGTTCAATGGTGCCTTCACAAATAGATTAACACTGCTATTGCATGCACCATGACAGTTTTTTTTTTTATTTAAAGAAGTCCTATTTCGACGAAGATGTTACAGAAAATAATAAAATTTCTAGCAGTTAAGGAACATGGCCTCACCAATTCTTGTTTCTACTCATATAAGGGAATTTCTAAGTATAAATTCCAATCAATGTAATTATCAGATGACCAAATAATCAATTCAGTGAACAATAAACTGAGTTGTCCAGAGTGGTACCCAGCAACAAATAAAAAACAAAGAGACGCAAAAAATCTTTATTGTAAGAAAGTAGCAATTCAAACCAACATAGATATCATACTTTCATGTTTTGGCTGTTGAATTATCCAAGAATACCTAACAAGATGATAGAATATTAATTATCTTCTTGATTTTTATATAATTAAATTTCTACAGAAACACAATTCAATTAATCTGTATGTGCAACATTCCCCTGAATAAATTATGACAGGCTCTATCATTGTACATCAAAAAAGTATTATACCCACCACAACTTCAAAGTGATATACTGCGAATGCATCAAAAAGCATAAAAAGAACACTTGATTTAACCTTTGTTTGAGTTATAGTCTAGTCTTGGTATCATGTATACTAGCTACCAATAAGAAATTACCTTCCCTAAAAGAAATTCTCCAGACAGAAGAGACACCACCAAAGGTGGGGCAATCCTCCCTGAAGGAAACACCTCAGACAAGGCACCATTTGTAGCATTCAAGATCATATACTCTCTTCTGATTCCCACACATATATCCTCACCACACCATAACATTGACTTAACTGTGTCTGGAACACCAAATTCTTTCACCTCCACAAATAGTGAAACCATCATGATTGGGATCACCATATACGGCAGAATGGTCGAGGAAAAACATGCAGAAATATTTGTCAATGACCAATAAACAGTTGGGTTAATTCAGAACCTACTAAGAGCAAGTTTGGCAAAAAAATTACTACATTATAAGTTGGGGACCCACAAATTGTGCAGACCAAAATCCCTAAGCCAGATAAGTTGAGAATTTTCAACTAATTTATTTTATAAGCTACGTGACCCACAGTTGTTTGAACTTTGGTCCATAAAAATTTGTGAATCCCCAACTTATAAGATAGCATCTGTTTGCAACAGCCCATTTGGCAGGGCTTTTGAGTTCCAAAAACTATTTCTGGACCCATTTAGTTAATTTTACAAAAGTGTTTCTTCTAGTTAAACGATCTTTTAGAGAAAGTTGGTCTAATGCAGTTTGCTCTAAAAGCTCTTCTGAAATAAAGTTTTTTTTAAGAAATGAGCTTCCAAACACTAAAAAGAAACTTCCTCTGAAAACTCGTCTACAAGAAGCAAAAGGAAAAGTAGAAGCCCTGCCAAACGGTCCCTAAGAAAACTAATGCTTTAGTAGATAACTAAAGCATAAAAAGGCAACACATGATAAAACCTCCAAAGGAGATAGGAGAATTCTCCACAGCTCAAAAGAAGAACACCAAGGAAGTGGAGATGATTAGGATTGAACCAAGTAAATCAGATAAAGTTTCTTCGTTCAGTTGTTCCTCTTGATTGACAGCTCAAAATCATACAGAAGACTTTTCTCTCTCTTCTCTCCAGTTTCTTTATGTTCGTTAATATTCTCCGTACTAGTGGTAAAAACCAAACCAATATGTAGTCATTAGAGTTTCAAAGTAAATCTCAATTTAGTAATACATAATCTTACTAGTACATTCACATCTGAGGTACCAAACAGAATTGGAGCAAAGTTTGTATGGAACACAATCTAGTTGCATTCATAGCCCAATTATAAGATCTTGATCTCATGCCCAAATAACACAATTCAGGAAATTATCAAGCAGCAACCAGAAGCAAAAAATTTAAAAATAAAAATGACAAATACTCAGTTCCACATCTTTGTCTTAAATTTTCAATGAAACTATCATGCTTTACGAATCAGCTCAACTACAAAAGATAACCAACACTAGAAGAACTAAACCAAAGCAGTCAACATATACATAAAGTGAAGCGTAACATTGGCAGCTTAGCATAAAATAAATCACTACCAATAAAACAAAGTAGTCAACATATAAAACAATATGTGCTCCTATGATTATAACTCGGTCTGGTAGACTGGGCACGCAATTTCCCTTAGCAAAATATTTCAATATAAAAAATAAAACTAAATCCAATCATCAAAAAAAAAACTACGATGATTCCATCTCTCATAGCTGAATATATGACACACCATATACTGTACAATCCGCCTCTAGTTGAACCGCACTTTGTTATTATATAATTTGACTTGGCAACACACCAATCATTCGGGGCATTTATCAAATTGACCTAGTTGACCAAACTTTTATAACATTTTGTAAAATTGTCTGTTTTACCCTTAATGATATATGTTTTGTTTATTGCAAAGTATATCCTTTCCCTAAATGGTTTTGACGATTGATATATTATATTTCTATATTTTCAACTCTATCCATCAAATTTATCATTTGATTTATTAGATTAGCATAATCTATAATTTTT